CCCTGCAGGAAGTTCCAGTCCTCCCAATCTCCTGCTGGCTTAACTCTTCAAATACCTGCTTCCCCAGATACAGGGCCCCAGACTCCCAATATCCCTTTCTAGTTCTTGTCTCTCAGCGGCACCCACCTACCCCTTGCTAGAGACTTTCCCCCCATACACACATTCTAGCTCTTCAGCCACCCATAGGCAGGGAGACTCCCCTTTTTGTTCAAGAGGCTAGGTCTCAGTCCAAAATCCAAATGTTGCTTTGTCCCTTTTCAAAGGATGGTAAGATAGTGACTCTCTCCATCAAATACAGGTCCCTCTGTGTCATCCTCCCTGTATCTGAGAGACTGAAGCCATAAGCCCCGGGCAGGAATAGGGACCCTAGTTGTTCAGGCTGCCAGGTTCCCCCAACATATTCACATTATTTGCCCTTCATCAGCACTCCTTCTACCCCCAGGCTTGCCCTCACCCCCATCCCTAGCAGCACAGCTGGCCATGCTCACCTGTATCAGGGGCCTGGTTCTCTGTTAATGCCTGTAGCTTGGGTAAACCAGGGCCAGGAAAAATGTGTGGATGCTCTCTTCCAGGTGACCCTACTCCTGAGCCTTTCCCTGTTCTCAGGGCCCCAGAAGCAATTTCTTTCTGCTTTTCCACATCATCCAGAACTCCTCTGCTTTGTGTCTACTCTGTTACTCTTCACTCTTCCTGATGCTCTGACTCTGGCTGGGTGCACTGGCTCTGACTGCCTCCTGCCTTTCTAGTGCTTGGTCCCTACTGCCTGGTGTTCCTACTGAAGTCCCATCCCCTCGCTTTCCTCATTTCCTGCTGCCCCTCCAAGAGGAAAAGACTTATGACCAGAGGCTGGTGGGTGGGCAGGAAGAGGCCAGAATCTCTCCCAGCTTCCCTTCGGCATCCCCAATCCATGCTTTTCCTTAGGGGCCTATCTTGGGTTGGGTCACCTCCTCCCCTTCCATAAATACCCTTGACCTCTGGGAGCCTTAAAAGTCCAAGCATGGAATCTAGGAGTCAGAGGGGTTGGGGGGTAGTCTTTCCCCACAGGGACTTCAGCTGTGAAGGGGGAGATAATCTGGGCAGAGGGTACTGGGGCAGGAAGGAGACAGGAGTGGGAAGATGTGTAAGAAGCTGCTTCAGACATGTCCATCTCCCCTTTTGTCTCTTGAACATGAGAAGGACCTGGGTCAAAAGGGAAAATAAGTAAGAAGCTTGTTCAGGCATTGAGCTCAATCACCAAGCCCATGCTAGGGGCAGTGCCAGGCTAGTGGCTCAGGCCACTGAAGGAGCTGAGGTGGGATGGAGAGGAGCTAGAGAGGGAGCAGACCTAGGCTGGGCACTGAGGAAGAAAGCTTTATCTGTGTATGGAGTGAGAGTTGGGGGTGGGGGGTGTGGAGAGAAAAGGCAGGAAGGGGGGGGGGTGGAAGGGAAGGGAAGGAACTTCCAGGAGCTGAGTCAGGTTTTTTCCACTGAGAGCAGAGGAGAAATTCCACCCAAAGCCTTCAGAGCCAAAAATATGTATATACATATTCTCAAATAGGCACATGTGTGTATGCATGTATTCCTTTGTGCATGTGTGTAGTGGCAAGATGACAACATTTGAAGCCAATTTGAGACTGAATCCTGGCACTGCCGCCTATTTGTGTGAATTCTGGCAAGTCCCAACGTCTTTGGGTCTCAAGAATCCTCATTTGTAAAGGAAGGGAATGGGGCTAGATAATTCCTTGCAATCCTAAATTCCCTGGAGTTTGTGCATGTATGTATGTTGGCAGGATACTGGAGCACTGTGCATATTATCTGCATCTATGAGTGTCTGGGCAGGGGTGGGATGGGTGGGCAGAACTGCCTTTTCCTCATCCAGCAGCCTTTTCTACCCCCCAACTACTGCTCCCCTCTGCTCTTGGAGGGGTGTGCAGCAGCAGGGGGCATCGAGAGGCCAATTCCGTTTGAGGAGGAAGATTTACCGAAGGTGTCCCTGGTCAATTAGGTCTCCACTCGATGGAGACAAAGGCTGGCTTAGCTGACTAGCTAGACTGCAAACGGGAAAGGCTGTTTGCCTTGAGGCCACTCTTGTGTTCGTCCAAGAACGCTGTGTTAGTTGGTGGCTAATGATTAATACTTGATTTGACTAATGGATTTCTTCCCCCTACTTGATAATCCAGGGAGCTCCTCTTCTTCCTCAGACTCAGGATACCTGGGATATCTAATTCTTGGCTCCCTTGACACTCTTCCAATAAAAGAAAGAGGTCTGGTTTTTGTTTTTTCATCTGTACAATGAAGGATTTGGACTGGGAGATCTCTAAGGTCCTTTCCTTCTAAATCCTAAAATCCTGTGAGGCTACTACGTCCCTGAAACTCCTTCCCTGTGCTATGTGCAGGATTTGAGGGCATGTGTGGGAGAGAGAGAAACTGAAACAGTAAGAGATGGACCAGGGGCTTCTAAAATCCTCAACTACCTGGTCCAAAAGAGCCCCCTAGGGAATAGGAGGAGGGAGAAAGAGAAAAGCCGAGCAGAGCCCTGGCCCCTGGTCAGGGTAGGGAGGCTCCCTCTGAGGGTTGAAGGAGGAAGGAAGTGAGCTCAGGCCACTGGGAACGCGGGAAGTATCGGCTTCGACCCTCATTGTTCCTAGCTCTGGGGATCAGATGAACCAAACCCATCCCAGGGCAGGGAGTTCCTGCTCAACCTTGGGGAGGGGTAGATGCTGGCATGATGATTCTGGCGGTAACCTGGGTGAGGTCTCGGTGGGAGGGGCAGGCGTCAGGGTTGGAGATGGTATCTGCCCCCCCCTTAATTTCTTATCACCTAGAATTTCCCTCTAAGCCTGGTATGAGGTCGCCCCCCAATCCAGAGAGCTCTCAGCTGGGAAAGAGGATGTCTAGATTCCTAAGAACCCTGGAGTACCACTGCTCTAATTAGGGGCAGACACACAGAAAGATAAAGAGAAGCTACGTGGACTTTGTGAGTCTCCACAACCAGAGTCAGACACGGTTTCTTCCACACAAAGACTTCCCCAACGCCAGACTATCAGAACACTTTCCCTGCCCCTGCCAAATTCACTGACATGCCATCCTTCCCCACTCTACCCCCCCAAATCTGCGGACATAGCTGTGCCCAATACCACCCGGAGCCATGCAGATCGCATGGTGGCTTTCTTCTTAGACAAAGGGAAAGAGCAGCTTGTGCAGAACTCTCCAGTCTAGGATGAAGCTCGGAGGGGAGTCAGGGTTCGGGAAGGACTGAGTTGCTAGGCAGAGTCCTAGAGAAAAAAGAAACTTCCATCCTAGCTGAAGGAGTGAAAATTGGAGGGCATGGATCTGTCTGGCCAAGCTCCCCTTTCTAAAACCTAACCAGTCCCTAACACAAACTGGGGGTGGGCTGCTGTCCCCATCCTCAGTTGAAAAAGTTAAGTGGCTTCTCTGTGGTGGGAGAAGAGCTCTCCCAGCCATTTCTGTTCTGCCCAGTGTGGCCCCGTGATTTCAGCCGGGTTCTGTTCTGTCTGATGTACCAAACGTGTGGGATGTGGAGCACAAGACATCAGATGAGTCAATCTCAGTTAAAATCGGTCAGTAAAATCCTGTTTTCACCTATAGATCGTTCTGGGAAAAAAACCTTAAAGTTATAAATTTATAAATGTCCATTTCTGAGAGGAGTTGGAAACATCCACCAAGCCTAGTTTTCATGAATTAGAAGATTCAAAGGTCAATGTCTGCCAACCTGTCTGAGGCTCAGAGAAGGGAGGATGCCTATGGCCACACAGCTTATTTCTGAGGCAGGATGTGAACCCAGGTCTTTCTTCTGAATTCCAAGTCCAGCACTGTTCCTAATGCAGTATGGCCTCTTAACTGGAAGGCTTATTTATGAATGGCAAATCAGTTCTAACTTTTCCTAACCGTTTCATTTCATAAAGTTGGAAACTATTACAGAAAAAATGGATCTCAGAGCACCATCTTCCAAGAAAGAGCTCCCTCTCCCCCCATCCTTAAAGCATTACCAGGGCCTCGGGCCCCCCAGACTCCTCCTGCCCCATCCCTCCCTCCTGTCAGAGAGGAAGACCTTCTGGCCATGTAAATACTGCCCTCTAGTGCCAGAAAACTGGCGGAGCAGAGGGCACAACACAGCTCCTCCACTTGGCTAAGGGAGGGAGCAGGAAACAGTGACAGGCCATCCTTAACTTTTTGGAGGGCTTCCAGGGGCCCATGGCTCAATTCCCAAGGCACAACTGGAGCTGCCTCTTCAGAGAAAGGAGAAGTGTTACAGGCCACAGCATCACTGAGGCTACCTTCTTCTGACCCTCCTTTGGCCATTTCTTTTTTTTGTCCCCCTATTTTTTTTTTGCAACCTCTCATTTCATTAAAAAAAATTTTTTCTTTTTTGGTCAAGGCAATCAAGGTTAAGTGACTTGTCCTTTGGCCATTTTTGACCATCCTCCCATGTCCTCTGCCCCAGTGTAGTCTAAAAGGCTCCCATTCCCAATAAACTGCTTACTCAATGAGATCCATCTACAAATAATTTTATTTAAATTCAACAAAAGGGCATACCAGTCTGGGCTGGGGGAGAGAGCAACCAGCCCTTCCCCCTCTATAATCACCTCTGCCCCAGACCATCTTTCTGTCACATTCACACAAAAAGCACAGTTTGCACAGAAAAGAATTTTTTAAAAAGTAATTCTAAAAAGTAAACAGACCGAATTTCTGCTTCAACAATATCATGGACATAGATAAGACTATTTACAAACCTTCACATTGTAAATCTCCCTTCTGTGGTCTCCTTATCCTACCCCTGCCCAGACGGACCCTGGAGAGCAGAAGGTTGGGCCCAGTTGCCCATGCCCACTAGCAGGAGGTGAGCAGCTTGGGCCAACACAGTACCAAGGTGAGAGGGGCTAGGGCACTAAAGAGATATGGGTAAGTTTGCCAGGTGGGCAGAACTGCCTATCATAACAGGGTGGGGACTGGTTGGGAATGTGCTCTCCAGAGCTGATGGGCACAGGCCTGAAGGACACATCAAGTGTAGTGTGTGGAAACTCCCCCTTTCTCTCCCAAGAAAGGGTTAGTATAAGAAACAGGCTTCTCAAGCAGTCTTGGCAGGGGTACTGAGCAAGAGCCCTCTCCCCTATATCTTTAGGGTTTATGATTTTCTCCTGATTCTACGATTCCCGTAGAAGATCCACTGCCGCTTCAGTTTCCAACCATAGCCTCAGGGACCAGGTGTATATGTGTATAAGGGGTTGAGGTTCGGGGAGGATCACAGTGTAGGAAGTGAAACCCACCCCAGACAGGGGATCTTCTAATCCCCTTCAGTTCCAGCAGGCTGAGCTGATTGTGGGCTGGGAGTGAGAAGGTGAGTGGGGCAGGGGATCAAGGGTGGTTGTGAGATTCATTGAGACCAGCCTCCCTCGGGGGTGGTAGGAGTCGAGGTAGCAAATGGCTGAAATGCTCAGAAATGTGAAGGAAAGGAGAAAGGAGGGTACTGCTTGTGCATAGCAAAGCTCACTGTGGCCAGCCCCATGGCCCCTAGTGATACAAGGGGAAGGGCCAGGAAAAGAGGAGCCCCTGCTTGTAAAGTGCTGTGTCCCCTTGTCTCCCTGACAGTGACCAAGCCCCAGGCCTCTCCTGCCTCTTCCCCCAGGCTGGGCAGAGGGAGAGGTACATGCTACAAGGAAACAGGAGGGGGAGGGGTACGGGGAGGTGGTTGAGGTCAGAAGGAAGGAAATTGTACCCTGAAATTCCTGGCCTGAGCGTTCACCCAGCTTTTATTTCCTGACACTCCTCTGGATATTGGAGGGTGAGGTGGGGCTTTGGGGTTCAGGAAGAGAAACTGAGTATCTTACCCCCTTCCTTTACCCAGGCACTCAGATCCTGGAGAAAATACCTACTCCAGTGAACCAAGCCAACCATCCTTTATCCCCGGACCCTCCCTCAAACTGACATCACCCAGTACTGTGGAAGAAACAGAACTGGGCATCCAGCTTCCCTACCCCTTGGCTTGTAGATGAAAAAATATGGCCCAATCAGGGGGCCCACATCAGGTGGAATTCATTTTTGGGCGGCTGCTTTAACCCAGACACCTCTCATCAGGACCCACACTTTGAGCTTGTGGACTCAGCAGCTTGGGATACCCTGCCAAGGAAGTGGGGAGTTTTCCCCAGCCAAGGCCTCTTTCTGGCCCTGCTGCCCCTCCTCCTACCCAGATGTCCATACCCACCACCCCACAGACTTGGGGTGTGGGCAGGAAGGGGCTGCAGGGCTCACATCTCACAGATGATCACCGGGAAATCCACGTGGAGGTGAGGGTGGTCTAGCCTCACGATACCCTGAAAATGAAATTGATACTGGTTAGGCCCTGCCTCAGTTCTAGCTCTTCTAGGAAGCCTTCCTTTTAAACTGCTCCAGGCCCCATGATTCTCTCCTTAAGCCTCTTGCCAGCCTTGCCTCCCCACACTCCTCTGGAAGCAGTGTAATATTGTGCATGGAATGCTGAACTTGGAGTCAGAAAGGCCTGGGTGCAAAGCCCACCTTTACTATTTAGTGGCTGTGAAACTAATCACGGCCCAGTCACTTAACCTCTCACCCTCAGTATTCCTCATCTGAAATGAGGATAAATGCCACCCACCTCACAAGACTATTATAAAGCTAAAAGGAGAGGATGTACATAAAGCACTTTGGTAAACTTTAAAGCTCCATATAAATGTCAGTTATTGCAACTGATTTCTCTTTCATCTAATACCAAAGCACTTTAAACTCCTTTTAACCACTTTATACTCTAATTTGGGTGTTATACATGTATATGCACTCCAATGATCTTTGTCATTCCTCCAGGGTCTAGCATAGCTCACTGCCCATAGAAGGCTCTTCATAAATAAATGTGTGTGAAGTGAATGACAAACCCAGCCTAACATTTGAGTCTAGACTGTCCTGTTGTTTCCTGTGTGTAAACCAGGCCTCCCCAAACAGACTGTGAGCCTTGCTGGGCTGGTCTTGCTTTTCCTGTCCCCACGATGTCCATAAGGGCAATGTGACCAATGGAGTTAATGTGAGGGGTACATGGACCCTATAATCTTTTACCAAGCTCCACAGCAGCCTCTGCTAAGAGAGGGGGCATAAGGGCAAGTGCAAGCCATTTCAGCTTAACCCATCCTTGAAGACACTGTCCCAAGAAGCACTGCACTTCCAGGCTGGCAGCAGAAAAAGCAGGCCTCATAGAAGTAATGATCAAAGCAGAAATTGGTCCAGGAAAATGTGGTTCTACTGAGCCTTCATTTGTTTGGGAGCATAATCCCCATCTGACTTTATGAGGACAAAACGAGATGAGGGTGGAGGCTGGGGAAGGGCCCTGTATCTCCTGCTCTCCCTCACCTGAGGGATCAGGTTCTTCTGTACCCGCCTCAGCTTGGCACGCTTTCGCCCATTCTTGGTGACAATTGTTTCCTCATAGAACTCGTGGGCCAGGTCACCATCTTCATCATAATACATGGAACTGTAGGGGCAGAGGACAAAGTGCCATCAGGACCACTGGCTCCACTGACTGAATCAAGGCTCAGGGAGCATCACTTATCCAACACCCCCCCAAAATAAGTACAAAATTTGTCTGTAGTTGTTTGCTTGCTCCATTAGATTGTGAGCTCCTTGAAGGCCTCTTTTTTATCCCCAGCACTTAGCATAGTGCCTGGCACATAGCAGGAGCTTAATAAATGTTTACTGTCTGACCCAAAGCAATGCCTAGAGAGTTTCCCAATGACAACCAAGGTCCAAGGTCACAGAGATAAAAAGTCCTCATGACATAAGGGACAGCCTTTGGTAGGGGATGAGGTGGAGAGAGAGTCTAGCAGGCCTGGAGACGTACCCTTTCTTTGAAGCCTCCGGGACCCAAGTGGGAGGGAAGTAGAGCAAAGAAGCAGGGGATACTCAGACACTGGGAGAAGAGTTAAAAGGTGAACTGTCACAATGCTTGATGCTTTCTACTCTCAGAGCTCTCTGATCTGTGAGGATCCGATGCTATGGCTGCCACCAGAGGGAACCCATTAAAACGCAGGGCCTCTGTGTAGTAAGGTTCCATGGCCAGGCCTTGGACTTCAGAGCCTGTTGGGCTCTGAAAAGAAGCAGCTGCCAGAGGTCTAGGCTTGCTGTGTTTTACCCCAGTAGGAACAACTGGTATAACCAGAGTCTTGATGCCTGCTCTAAGATGGCAGGAAGCCCACACCAACTTCAGCCAAAAGAACTTGTTGGCAGACATAGAGAGATCTCAGGACCATAGCATTTCCTATCCCATCCTTAAGCTAGATATTAATGAAAATGGCTCCAGGTCTGCGTTTCAATGCAGCAAGTCTCCACCCATACAAACTTTCCAGGTCAGGCCAAAATGGCATTCAGAAAATCTGATAACATTACTGCTTGATCCCCAAATATTCTGCCAAATAGGACCCAAGTTACAGGCTTTTCATCAACCCTAGAGCTGAGGCTCTGAGTGACTACTCTCTTGTTCCAGTCACAGGGAGAAAATAGGGGATCCAATCCTACTTACCAGGGACTTGGAGTCATATGATGCCCAAAAATTCCTAACTAGCTTCCTCTGAAGGAGTTAAGCTAGAATTCTCTTATTACCTTCAGAAAACTGGGCCTTGGGGAGATAAAGAGGTAGGTACCTTCATTATTTCCCCAAGTCACTGACACAGCCCTAAGAGCTTTGGGGCGAACTGGATTGAGAGTGGGAGAAAGCTAGGTGGCACAGTAGATAGAGTGCTGGGCCTGGAGTCAGGAAGATTCACCTTCATGAGTTCAAATCTAGCCTCAGACCCACTTACTAGCCGCGTGACCCTGGGCAAGTTATTTACCCGTTTGCTTCAGTTCCTCGTCTGTAAAATGGGCTAGAGAAGGAAATGGCAAATCACTTCAGTAGCTTTGCCAAGAAAATCCCAAATGAGGTCAAAAACAGTCAGATGTGACTGAAACAACTAAATAGCAACAAATATTATTCTCCATTCTCATCTCCTTGGCTTCATCTTTCAAAGTAGGCTCATCTTCTTGCTAAGGCCGAATCGTGTACTTGTATCTTTGATAGTATTATAACTCCATCCTCTTCCGAGTCTCCTGAGGGAGCTAGTCCCTATCCTTTGTCTCTTTCTTTATCATCTATAAACACACCCAGGATTTTCCCATTCTTAAAAAAAATTCACATCTGATTCTGCCCACCTCAGGCTACTTGCTGACCCCATACGTTTGGATGTTCTACCCCTACATCTTGGTTTTCTTCATTTCCTTTAAGACTCACCTCAAATCCCACCTATTTCAGGCGACTTTTCACAGTCCTCCTAGCTGCTAAAAGCCTCCTCTTCTCTTTTAATTCTTTCTTCCTTTCCTATCCATCACTCAAATGAAACTTTCTCCAAGGTTATAAACTAACCCAACTGTCAAATCCCATGGCCTTTTCTCAGTGTTCACTGTCCTTAACTTGACACTGCTGACCACCTTTTCCTTGATACTCTCTCCTTCGGCTATGATACTCCTCTCTTCTGGTTCTCCTATCTGTCTGATTTCTTCTCAGTTTCCTTTGCTGGATCATTATCCAATTACTGCCCAATAAGTGTGGGTGCCCTATAAGGCTCTGTCCTGAGCCCTCTTCTCTCTGGTTAAATTATGTTAGCCACATAGACGACTTATTCACATACATACACACATAAATACCGTATCTCTTTCAATGTATGCGTATGTATCCCATCTCTCAATTCAAAAACAGTTTTAAGCACCTACTGTGTTGAATGCACAGTGTTAGGCACTAGAGATATAAAAACAAAAGATTTGTAGTCTTAGAGGAACTTCACAGAGGGAGATGGGAAGGAAAGAGGGGAGACAGACATACAACATGCACACAGAAAAATAAATTATTAAGTCAACACAAAATAATGCAAAGTAATGTCAAGGAGTGATCACCAACAACTTGGGAAAAGATGGGGAGGAATCAAGAAAGGCCTCTTGTAGGGAGTGGCACCTGAGCTGTGTATTGAAGAAAGTTGGGAATTCCAAGAGGCAAAAGCAATGAGAACATTGCAGACAAGGAAAACCACTTGGACAAAAGCGTGGAGGTTGGAGATGGAAATGCTGTGGAAAGGGAAAAGCTAGCAGGCCAGTTTGGCTGGAATGCAGAGGAAGTTATGAGGAATTGCACGACATGAGCGGAAAAGGAGGAGAAAGGCAGACTATGGAAGATCTTAAAAGCCAGGCTGAGGAATCTGAATTTTGCCACAGAGGTAACAGGGAGCCATTGAAGATCTTTTTTTTTTTGGGGGGGGGGGAGGGAACAGGACAGGACAGTATGGAATATGAATTGAAGAGAGAAGAGGATAGAAGTGGGAAGACCAATCAGGAGGTTTTTTAAATAGTCAAAGACTCAAGGGTGGCCCCAAATCCCCTTAATAAAAGGATCTGTTCTATAAAACTTGGACTCAATCAAAAGGCCAAATTCAAGGACCTAGATCTAGGGTCACAGGTGGCCTAGAGGCCAAAGGTTCCCCAACCCTAGTCTAGGACAAGAGAAGATGAAGGCCTGAACTTTGTGACTGTAGAGACAGAGATGGATGCAATGCAGGTTGATGAGGTAGAATACTGAAGACTTGACAACTGATGAAGGTTGAAAAGAGGAGAAAGGTGAAGAAAAATAGTGAAAAATAACGAAAGTTGTGGATCACAGTGATTGGAAAGATGGTGGTGTTTTTAAGAAAAATTAAGAGAATATTCAAAGGAGTTAAGGGGGAGGAGGGGAATCTTCAGTCCTGCAAAACCAACTGTCCCATAGACATCTCTACTTCAATGACTCACCAGTATCTCATATTCAACATAGCTAAAACAGAAATCATTATACACCTTCCTAACTCCATCGTACCCCCTACAAACTTACCTCTTTCTGCTGAGGACATTGCCATCTTTCAAATCGCTCAGGTTTGCAAGCTCAGTCATCTCTTGCTCTTTCCTCTGCCTCATTCTACCTATTCAATCATTTGTAAAGCTTTGTCTGTTTTACTCCTGCAACACCTTTCCACCATCCCATGCTTTCTATCCAAAGGAATATTCTCTTTGTTTTGGCCTTTTCTGGCCTTGCCTAGACCAATGGTCTCCAAAGTGGAAGGCTGAACCAGGAGAAGAATTTATGCAATAACAATACCATAAATGCATATAACTTTGAAAGACTTAAGAACTGATCAACGTAATGATCAACCATATTTCCAAAGGAGTGCTGATGAAGAATGTTACTTCCTGACTGAAAGGTGATGGACTCAAGATAGAGAATGAAAACTACTTTTTTCTGAACAAGATCAATATGGGTATTTGCATTGCTTTCACTATTTGTTAGAAAGATTTTGTTTTTCCTTTAGTTTTTTCCCCAATGGGAGGTAAGGGAGAGAAAAATACATGATGCTAATCAGAAAAACAAACAAACAAGCAAAAAACACAGTAGGAGGTCCTCAAACCACTAAGATGCTGTGGCACTATCCTAATATCCCACCTTCCCCACTACAGCTAATTATAGGGCTTTGAAGCACACCATCACTTCATGCATAGAGACTCCACATTCTCCAGCTCTTCCTCTCTCCACTCCTGGTGTTCCATAGTTACCCAAGCTCCCAATTGCTTTCTTTCTATGAGGGAATGAACTTTTAAGGGAGGTTATAATATTGCTTAGATGCCAGCACCTGCACCAGTAGTTTCAATGATACTATAGGGAGATACTATTGGATACTCCCCCTCCCAAACCTTAGCACGCTCATACCCTGCTCTTGATCCCTTCAAGGCTATGGCAGGTGCCCCTAAGCTGGCCCTCTGCTCTAGAGTCTTGGCTGGTAGGTAAGAGCCTATTACGTTATTCCCTCTCCTCTGTCAAATTTCCCTATTTTTGTCCAAGGCAGTGGTGTCAAACTCAAATAGGAATGGATCCCTCCAGGCCAAAGTTAAACTCAGAAGACTACTATGTTGTACTGTCTTTTTATTTTGTTAAACATTTCTCAACTAAATTTTAATCTGGCACTGTTTGTGCTTCAGAGTTTTGCTAGCTGCCAGCAGTGAGTTTGACACCTCTGCTCTAAGGCATCACCATCCTTTAGATCTCCCAGATTCTCAATCAACTGAAACTGTTCTCTTCAAAGTTGCCAAAGACCTCTTAACCTGCAAATCTAACGGCCTTTTCTCAATCTTCATCCTTCTCGACCTCTCTGCAGTATTTAACACCACTGACCATTCTCTCTTCCTGGACAGTATCTCCTCTCTGGGGAGTAGTGAAAATGACTGCTCTTGGTTCTCTTCCTGGTCTGACTGCTCCTCAGTTATGCCCTCTGTGCCTATGCCCTATCTCTTCTCCCTCTACATTCACTTGGTGATCTCCAGGTCTACTCTTTCCTGAACTGCATTACCACATCACTAACTGCCTAGTGAGAATGGAAAGTCCCACAGGTATCTCAAGTGCAACATGTCCAAAACAGGCTTTATCTTTCTCCCCAAACCCTCTTCTCTTTTGCTGTTGAGGGCACCACCATTTTTCTAGTCACCCAGGTCTGGAAACTCTTGTCATACCCAACTTAACAGTCTTATTCACACCACACACTACACATACAACAGTTGCCAAGCCTTGTGAGTTCTACCTACATCTCTCACCCGCCCCCTTCTCTCTATTCTCACAGACACCACAGGAGTTCAGGCTTTCATTACCTCATCTCTGGACTATTTCAATAGTTTCCTAATTGGTCTTAAGTCTCTCCCTTCTCCAATCCATTCTCTACAGAGCTGCCAAAGTGATTTTCCTACCTTACAGGTCAGACCATGTCACTCTCCTACTCGAACTCCAAGATCTCTATGATCAAATACTATTTCATCTTCCTCTCACCATATTAAATTCAATTTTTGTGAAAGGAATGTGCATAATTATTAGTTCAGTATATGCATTTGTGCATATACACACATATATGCATATAATTAATAAATTACATGTATAGGTGAGTCTCAAAATTTTATTAACAGGGAGCCGAATCAAAAAAGTTTGGAGACTACTGGCCTAGACTATTGGATGTTCTCCTTGCTTCTGGCCTCTCCCCACCTCCAATTCTTTCTACACACTGCTGCCAAATTAATATTTCTGAAATAGGCTTGACTATGTCACCACCTTGCTCAAAAATCTTCAGTGGCTCTGTAATGACTTTAGGTTAAGTACAATCACTCCTTTAAAGCCTTCCACAACTTGGCTCCCTTCAACCTTTGTAAATATTTCACACTGCTCTTCTTCGGTTATTCTCTGTTTAAGCCAACCTGACCACATATCTTCCAGCTCCTTGCCTTGTACAGAAAGGAAAGAGGAATCCCAGAGAGAAAGTAATTTGCCCAAGGTCAAACACGTGGTAGCGAACAGAGCCGGAATTCAAACTCGGGTCGGGCTCCACCTCCAGTACTCTAACCAGATCCATTCGATGCCTCTCTTAACGTTGCCCCTAGGAAGCCCCAGCCAGCAGACTAACGACAGCAGGAGGCACACCACCTTTTTCAGGACCTCCAAAGAAACCAAGGTTCAACTCCCACCCAGCAAGCTCTTTCTCCTACCCAAGTCGGGAAACCCACGGAAATAACAGTGGCCGAGACTGAAGCCAGGGAGAACGCGGCATTCAGGCCCCGGCGGTCATTTCTTCCAGCAGACGGGGTCGACGGTCGGCCGATTCTTCCTCTCTCATCCCTCGGCTAAGACGTGAAAACTAAGCCGTCTCTCCGAGACCGGACAGCTGCCTTCGGCGTGTGCACGCCACGGGCTGCTCCCTTCAGTCTCCTCCGGGAAGGACCTGCCCACCCGCCTCCCCTCCGAGGCCCGTCAGCCCGCTGCAGGGAAGCCCGGAGGCCGCCTCCCCCCACGCCCTTACCCGCGACGGGTGAACACGAAGGGCGGCGCGGTGCGGAAGCCCCGAACCCGGGCCAGGGCGTGCTGGGCACGGGCCGCGTCGGTGAGCTCGGGGCTGCCTCCCGGGCCCGCGGACGCAGCCGGCGCCGAGAAGGGCCACAGCCCCCGGCCCTTGGAGCCGCTGGTGCCCATGTCAGGGCCCGCGGAGCATCGCGAGCCGCTCCCGCCTCTCACTGCGCCCTCCAACAGCCGGCCCCGCTCCCGCTGACGGACGGATGCCGACTCCCTCGGACAGAGCGGACGTAACTTCACTTCCTGCGCCGCCTCGAACGGCTTCCGCTCCTCCCTCCTCGTTCGTCCATTGGTAGTCAGAGCTGTCAGGCCGAGAGTCGGTGCCAATGGAGACCCTCGGAGGTTAAGGATCCCGGCGTGCACTGCGACTGCAAGCCTAAGTGTTTCCGAAAGACTTCAAATCCCAGTATGCCACGCTCCCTTCCGAGCCGCAGGGCTCTGAGCCTAAGCGAACTGCAAGTCCCAGCATACCCAGCACTGGCACCGCTGTGACTTCAAGCTCACTTGCTTGGTAGCTGTCAGAACAATCTGGAGGCTTGTTTGCATTTGGAGGCGCTACAGTTCAAAAGAAACCTACAAGTTGGGGGCGCATGGAGATGAGTAAGGTGACCAGGTTGGGAGGACCCTGGAAACCACCCCACCTCTTTAATGGGCTTGATAGGGTAGGGGCCCAAGCTGAGACCCTTGCCCCTCACCCCACAAAGAATTTGGGTCCCATTTGTCTACGGATTCTCCTTGAACTCTCCCACTTGGTCAAAAAAGTCTCTAGCAGTCAACTGAGACTATAATCCTATAAACTGCGCCCAATCTCCCAATTCTTTGTTACTCTTAATCTAGCCCAGCCCTCCATTGTCCGTTATCTCTCAATGGCCCCGGCTACTTCTACACTTGCTCCTATCTAAGATCCTATCTAGGATTCATAATGATCCTATCCTTTTTGACCTCCCTGTAGATCCCATCAAGAAGATCCCCTCTAGACCCCCTCCAGTTACCCCAGCCTACTGGCTTGACCCCAGTCAAGATATCCCTTCTCCAGTCCCCCCAAACTACCTGGCCACTCCTAGATCCCTCTCACAATCTTTCTGGATATAGGGTCCATCTTGCCTCCATTAAGGTGCTCTGATTCTTTAAGAATGTGGCCAATATGGTGGATCTTTAATAAACCTTGTCATTGGCTAAAAGAAGGTTTGGGTTGAATTCATTTGGGCAGGACCCGCATCTCTTGGTCTTGATATTTTGGGGTCCCAGCACCCCAAACCTCAACAGACTTAGCTATGTGTTACATCTATTGGTGTCTTATTCTTCATCTTAGACTGTAAGATCCATGAGGGCACACTCTTTCCCCTTTTCTTCCAGGCTCTTGCACTGGCCTTTGGAACTGAGCCTTGAATTGACTGAAGCAGACAGAGGAACTTGGAAACTCTAACCTGGAGAAGAGCAGATTTAACAGAGGAGCACAAAGGTATTGTGATGCTAGATTTGAAATCAGGGGACCTGAATTTGAATATGCCTTCATTTACTAGCATGTGGCCCTGGGCAAATCAGTTAACTTTTATCTACCTTAGTTTTCTCGCCTATCAAATAAGGATAATAATAGCACTTACCTCACAGAGTTGTAAGGATCAAATAAGATAATAATAGCCTTACTTAAACAAAAACCTTTCACAATCAGTGAGTGCAATTGAAAAATGAATATGATTTACTAAGTGTAGCCATGATACATTGTTCTGTATCTTTTTCAGCTACAATAGCCATGAATACCAAGTATGGAAATAACCTGGGTATAAAAAGTCTTTTGAATCAGGAGTCTTTTGAGGAGGGGTATCTTGACTGGAGTCAAGCCAGTAGGCTGGGGTAGCTGGAGGGGGTCTAGAGGGGATCTTCTTGATGGGATCTACAGGGAGGTCAAAAAGGATAGTATCATTATGAATCCTAGATAGGATCTTATGTAATGCATTTTGCAAGCCTTAAAGTGCTATAAGTTCTAGTTAATATTATTGTTTGATAATAATAATAATTATTATCTTTGTGATCTTGGACATGTCAGTTAACCTCTGGGGACCTCAATTTCAACATCTGTAAAATGAAGGCATCATCCTTTCTAACTCTAAATATGAAACTGTGATTGTAACATTCAAATGTCTGAAACAGCTGGCTTCAAACTCTTTTTGACTAGGCACTATGATCAGTAAAAACATTTTTTGAGAATGCATCCCCAATATGCATTTTCTTATTTACAAGTTATAAACATGTACCAATATATACATAAGACATGCCTCAAATAGAAGTTTTAAAAGGATAGAAACATTAAATGAACAATATAATAATTATAACATATTAACTAAAATAACTGTATTTTTAGTGAGCAATGTGATTGGCTGTTTCCTTATTTTTGAAAATCTTGATTTAACAATTTGTGAGACAGTGATTCAAAAGACTTTTTATACCCAGGTTATTTCCATACTTGGTATTCATGGCTGTTGTAGCTGAAAAAGATACAGAACAATGTATCATGGCTACACTTAGTAAATCATGATATTCATTTTTCAATTGCACTCACTGATTGTGAAAGGTTTTTGTTTAAGTAAGGCTAGTAAATTTGTATCTCTTGATATTAAGTAGTTCTTGCAAACTAATTAGAAAGTGTTGCATTTTTATATTTTTAAGAAATAAGTTCGAAACCCACTGAAACTCTTCTAAGATTTGGAAGATTTTTAAACACATTAGAAAATTATGTTTCCAAGTTTAAGAATGCAAAAATGAGTTTTTATAGGTGACAAATAACTTTTTGGTTTCAGTGATGAGGATGGGATCTAGACCCCAAAAAGGAAAAGCCCTTGATTTACCCAGATGGTCAGATCTCTGGAGTTTGTCTGAGGCTATAATCCTATCAACTGGCCTTTCATTGTGGTTACACCCAATCTCCCGATTCTGTTAGCCTTAACCTAGCCTAGCCCTCCATTGTCTTACCTCCCAATGGCCCCACGCCACTTCCCACCCTTAATCCTATCTCGGCTCCATTCTCCCTTGGCCACATGGTCCAGGTCCCTGGAATTCTATTACCTCATAGACCATGCCTAGATCCCTCCCATAGTCTTTCTGTATATAAGGTCCATCTTATCTCCATTAAGATGCTCAGATTTCTACAATATTGCCAATAGCTCATAGGTGCTCAGATTCTGTAAGAGTATGGCTAATATGGCGGATCTTTAATAAACCTTGTCTTTGGCTGAAAGAAGGCTGGGGTCGAATTCTTTGGGCAGGACCCGCGTGTTGTGATCTCAGGGTCCCAGCACCTCTAAACCTCTAGACCTCGTTAGCGGAAGCTTAGATTTTAAATATCTGGATAGCTATGATGACTATTCTATTTTTTATTTATTTTTGCTTTTAGGCAATTGGGGTTAAGTGACTTGCCCAGAGTCACACAGCTAGTAAGTGTCAAGTGTTTGGTCTGAGGCCGGATTTGAACTCAGGTCCTTCTGACTTCAGGGCTGATGCTCTATTCACTGTGCCACCTAGCTGGCCCCTGTGATGACTATTTTAGCACCCACTCTTGGTTACTCCTTAGGGAGCAGCAACTACCCCCACATGCAAGGGATAGACTGCACAACAGCGAGGATTTTGGCTCACGAGCCCCCACTTCCCATTAGCAGCCAATCAGTAGATACAATTAGCTTAAAGCAATGGCATTTACAGAAATTGCTTAGTAAGAATAGTAGCTAACTATAAACTATTCCCCCTAACCCTGGAGCACATTCGTCCATAAAGACACAGATCACCCATGAGGAGAATGGGCGCACACTTAAAAGAGTCATTTGAAGGAACACAGATAGTAGACACATTTGGCCCAAATGACTCACTTCTCTGGTGCTACTGGGCATTGATTTAGTCTCGCCTTTGGGGTCCCCAGGAAGCACCTCCCAGGGGACAGCGTCTCTGCTGGTTGGATGACTTAGCTGGGCTCTCCTGGGTATACATCTCTCCTCATCTCATCTGCTCTTATTGCCAGGGCTAGCTGTCTCTTCAGTCAATATAGGCACTTCTCTCTGCTCCTGGAAGTCCACCACCTCCTTGAAACTGCTAGAAGTGTCTGTGTCTGTTTGGAGTGCACGAGTCTCTGCTCCCTACTGGATGCTAGACGTTCTGCTTACACTATTGAGGGCTCCCCAGTTCTCAAATTAAGAGGCCCTGCACTTGCCCCACCTTGGCCTTTCTAGACATGAGTTCTACCTGTGGCAACAGGGAAAACAGTTTCTCTGCCTGGGATAGAGATTTCAATTCAGATGTTGGTTGGTTACTCTCCCCCTAGAGTCCCCGAGTTCCCATAGGTTCAATTATCATTGCTATTTATATGACTCCCAGATTTGTATGTCTACTCCTTGTCTCTTGTGAGCTCCAGCCCTGTATCACCTATTCGATATTTCACGCTAGATGTCTCCTAGGCATCACAAACTCAACATGCCCAAAAGGGAACTCATTCTCTCTAACCCCAAACCCATCCTTCTTCCAAACTTCCCCATTACCACTGAAGGCACCCTCATCTCCCAATTCATCCAGGTTCACAACCTCGGTGTCATCCTTGACTCCTCACTCATACTTATCTAACATATCCAATCAGTTGCTGTTTTAACTTGAATGAATTTTTTTTTTAATTAAGTATCTACTATGTGCCCGGCATTGTGCTAACCATCTGAGATCCCAAAACAAACAAGACAATCCCTGTGATGAAAAACAAAGGGAAGTTAACAGTGAAAAGGTAGATAAGGGTATAAAGGAAAGAGGGTCCAAGCATAATGGTTTGGCTTGGAGGTAGCCATGAAGTGCACAAAGAGAGAAGCCTAATTAAGGGGGGAGAGCTCTCTAATCATGACCCAAGGCCCTGGGCAAGGAGTTCAAGTTCCAGACAAGAGACAGGGCAGCAGGGACTAGGTAATCATGGCCCAGAGTCCCAGGAATAGGAGTCTGAGTTCCAGTGGGAGGAGAAGACCGAAGTACATATAGGGGGCATGGCTTGGAAATGGCCATAAAGTGCCAATATATCCTTCTTCTCACACAACCATCACCCTACCTCAGGCCCTCATCACCTCTTGCCTGGATTATTAATTGCCTCCTACTAGGTTTCCCCGGCTCAAGTCTCTCCTCACTGCAGTGAGATGCCAAAATGATTTTCCTAAAACCCAGGTCCAACTGGCACTTTCTCTACACTCTCTCTTAAACAACATGGCCCTTTCCTACTCCAGGCTTAAATCCCCTTCCATACACTCTACGGCCCAGCCATCCTGGTATATTCATCTCCTATCTCCAAGCTTTTGCACTGGCTACCTCCATCCCTGGAATGATCTTCCTGCTCATCTCTGCCTTAGATTGAGTTTCTTTCAAAATTTAGTTTAACGGTTTCCTTCTCCAGGCCCTTCCTGCTTCTCCCAAGTGTGTTCTCTTTAAGGTTACTTTGTATCTACTTTATATATCATGTATATACTTATAGATAAATATGTGTCCCCCATTAGAATCTATGGTAGGTGGCTCAGTGGATAGAGTGCTGGGCCTAGAGTCAGGAAGACCTGCATTTAAATCTAGCCTCAAACACTTACTAGCTGTGTGACCCTGGACAAGTCACTTAACACTATTTGCCTCAGTTTCCTCATTTGTAAAAGGAAGGAAATGGCACAACACTCAGTATCTTTGCCAAGAAAACCCCAAATGGGGTCACGAAGAGTTGGACTGAAAAACGACTGGAAATTAGAATCTAAGTGTCTTGAGGACAGGGGCTGTTTTGCTTTTTAATCTTTGTATCCTGTATCCCCATTGCCCAACACAGACAAAGAAATAAGTAAATGCTGTTTGATTGATTACTTAATTTCCTAAGGGGTAAGCTGCACTCCATTTCATTTCTCCCATGAAATGCCTGCAGTCCAGCATCACGCTGTAGAGTCCATGGATGTAGCAAACTGGATTAAGTGTACACATTTGAAAGGCAGGGCAGTCTGGGATTGTGATCCTAGGGGTGTATTGGATGCTGATGGCTTTTTTCTAGTCTTCATCCCTCTTGAACTAGCTGTAACTCTTAGCACTGTTGACCACCCTCTTTCCTTTTAGATACAGTACTCTTTTTTCTCCAGGGTGTTGTGATGTTGCTTTCTCTCGGTTTTCCTCCTGTTTGGCTGCTCCTCATGTTCTTTTGCTGGCTCATCATCTGTATCATGGCCTCTAACTGCAGGGGTACCCCAAAACCATCCAGGACACTTCTCTAAGTATTCTTTTACTTGGCAACCTCACTAGCTCCTATAGATTCAACTCTCATTTCTTTACAAATGACTATAAAATCTCTATATCCAGCCTCATTCTCTCCTGAGTTCCAATAAAACATCTCTACCCATTTATTGGGTATGTCAAATTGGATGTTCTGTAAACATGTCAAACACATGTTCAAAATGGAACTCATTCTTTCCCTGAAACCTATCC